GAATGCATTCTTTACATCTAACTAGAATAATGGCAATGATGCATAGTTGCAAGAGAGATGAAGATACGAATAGATAAAAGTTTTGTAACTGGAAAAAAGGTATCAATGTAGTCAATACCATAAGTTTGGGCATACCCTTTTGTAACAAGTCATGCCTTCAGATGAGCCATAGAACTATCAGGATTAACTTTCACAATGTAAATCCACTTGCAACCAATATTATGTTTTTCCTTGGGAAGAGAAACCAAATCCTAAGTATCATTTGTCTCAAAAGCCAACATTTCTTCCTCCATAGCATGTCGCCAAACATTATTATTGAGGGTATCTACAAGGGTCTTAGGAATAGAAAGAGAGTCTACACCAGCCATGAAAGATTTAACGTAGAGGATAAATGAGCAGACGTCACATAAGATGAAATAAGATAGGTACAAGATCTCTTACCTTTATAGATAACAATAGGAAGGTCAAGATCAGACATAAGATCTGTTGACACTTGAGGAGAAAATGGTAGAGGTTGAGTACCATCTTGAATATCATTAGGCACAGGGGGCACATCATCTAAAGGCTATTTCTATATGTCTACTTAAAAAACTTGAAACATATATCAACAGGTGCTAGAGATATAATATGATGTGCAAATTAAACAACAGTGTAAGTCAAGAAAGGTTCATCTACCTCATACATGGACTCAGAAGATGAGGGCTTAAAGAATAGAAGACTTTCAAAGAAAGATACATTAGAGGAATAAGATAACGACCAAGATCAGGAGAAAAACAACGGTAACTTTTTTGTAATTGAGAATAACCCAAAAACACACATTTTATGGACTTTGTATCAAGTTTAGTTACTTGAGAACGAACATCAAACATAATAAGTGCAGCCAAAAACTTTAGGAGGTAAAGAAAAAAGGGATTGTAATAGGAAAAGTATAAGTGAGGAATCTCATCATGTAACATAGATGATGACATGTGATTAATTAAATATGCAACAGTAAGAACAACATGAGCCCAAAAAAGTTTAGGAACTTTCATTTCAAACATTAGAGCACGGACCACCTTTATAAGATGATAATTTTTACGTTCAGTAACTCCATTTTGTTGTGGGGTAATAATACAAGAGGACTGATGAATCATGTCATGTTTACTCATAAAACTAGTAAAGGATGCAGAAAAATATTCTTTAACATTATCACTTCTAAGAATGTGCACACAAGTATTAAATTGAGTTTTAACTTCAGTACAAAATTACAAAATATAGAAAAGACTTTAGATTTAGATTTCATAAAAAATAGTCACGTTACACAAGAATAATCATCCACAAAGGTAATAAAATATTTAAAACCAGATTTAGAAGTAACTGAACAAGGGCCTCAAACATCAGAATGAACAAGTTCAAAGGGGGCATGAGTCTTTTTATTTAAACGAGGTCAGTAAACATTATGATTATGTTTAGTAAACTGACATAACTCACAATCAAAATTAGACTCTATACTAGGACATAATTTCTTAAAAACTCTAAAAGATGGATGACCCAGACGACAATGAAATTGGAAAAGAGACACTTTTTCATTGCTAGAAGCAATAGAAGCTTGCAGAAGTCCTTCTTCTTCCAATAGATACAGCCCATTAGATATCCTACCTCTACTGATAATCCTTGGAGTCATCGTATCCTGAAAAACACAATAATCATAAAAGAATATTACTAAGTAATTTAATGATAAAGTGATTTGTCTAATGAATAACAAATTTAATGGGAATCGAGACAAATATAAAACAGAGGATAAAGGTAAGATTGAAACCAGGGTAGTACACCTGCTGCCCTTAATATGGACACTAGAACTATTAGCGAGTGTTATAGACTAGGTAGACAAAAAGAGGAAAGGATACTTGAATTCCTAGTTATATAACCAGTAGCGCCAGAATCAATGACCCAACACCTAAAAGTAAAGGAAAGACATGCAATAAGATTACCTTTTTGGACAAAAGTGGTTGTAGAATATCTAGACGGCTGTTGGGAAATATGAAACTGAGTATACTGAATAAATTCCTTATCATTCATACACACAATACATCCTTCTTTCTTCTAAGTAGCTATATCAGACTAAGACACCAAGTTAACAAAGTGAAAGTTACCTTGTGAGTGATAAAATGACTAATTATGTGGAGGATGAGTGCACTGATTTTTGATAATAGCCAAATTTTCCATAGTTGTAAAATTGTACATTACCATAGCCTCCACTATGTCCACGACCATGGCTACTTCTACCACTACTGCGACCACCATAGTTATCGTATTGGGCTGCCAAGACAGTGTGGTCAGGAGACTTATTTTCTGCAATGCTCTTGGGTTCCTCAAAGAAAGATTGCATAACTCTAGAGAAGACATTGGTAAGATTATCAACCTGCTTACTTGATAGAATTTAAGATTGAACTACCTCATATTCCAGATCAAGTTTGGAGAGCCAACTCAAAGCCATGAGCTTCTTCTGTTGTGCTATCATCTTGTCAATGGTTTTGCAGGCTAAAAGGGATTGTATCTCCTCAGTATGGTTCTTAAACTCCAAAAAATAGTCAATTAGCTTTTGATTATTCTGTTTAGGTCGATAAATTTCTTGCAAGAGAGCATAAGAGAGCATACAACTGATTCAAATTATCAGATTTTTCAAAAATAAATTGCAAGAAGTTGTGCAAATAAATTGCAAGAAGTCTCACAACTTCTTCATGGTTTTGCAATGAGTAATAATTGCTTGTATTCGCCTATTAATAAAATTTACTAGCAACGCAAGGATCTTTTTGTCGTGTATCATCCATGTGTCAATATCCTTAGGATTGACACGTGCCATTTTAGTCAAATGATTATCCTTTCTCATTCCACCCAGGCTAATCTCAATCAAATACTTCTACTTCATATAGTTCATACCATCCTCATTCAGCATAACATCGGTAAGTTTGGATAAAGATACAATATCCATAACAGCCTCCTTATGATGCGCATCGTGCACATCTTGGTTATTACGTTAAGACATTGTATATCCACAAACAGTGATGGAATTGCCTGGATTTTTGTCTCAATGGCTAGAAAGAAACGTCGCACTCAAACTATAAATGTCGAATCACTGCATATTTTGGCTATCGGACAAAATTTTCACCCTTATAGTAGTCATGGTCGGCCTTTTCTAAAGCTGTTGAGTTTTTGTTTTTTTTTTTTGGGGCGGCGGCAACAAGGGTAAATCCTAGGAAGCTCTTGATACCATGTAGAATTAAGAGAGAGACAGATAGATTAGTGTGTTGGAATTAGATAGATATTCTACAATGTGTAGAGACCCTTATATTTATAAAGATATATATGTAATCATAATGGGTCAAGCCTGTTATTATAATCCTAATAAGTTTATTATAGCTATTCATAATAGTTGATAATAGGTCGTATGTTAGAAAACACATCAAAGTTACAATATATAGTATAATTAATTAAAGTTATTTGATTTGAGTTAGTTTTGTGATACTTGAAAGGAATCATATCACATAATAACTTGTGACAGGATGATCTAATCAACATGATGACTTGATTACCTCAATGATATACACACTTATAGTTCATTGAATCTTCAAGTTGTCACATAAGTTGTGTGAGAAATTGTTAGATTATTTTAACAATTCATATAGTGGCCTATGTAACTTATAGTATGATTTTAATTAATAATTTAATAAGATGATTGTGAAATATAAAGTAGAGAGTCATTAAATGTATAATTAAAAATATAATTATAAGGAAACTCTCTTCTCTCTTTTCATATAAATAAAAACACAGTTACCAAAATAAAGTTTACATAAATTTCTTCAAGTCTTATGGTAGCTAGAAAGAAAACACTTTCTCTCAACCATAAAAAATGAGCTAAAGAAATAAGGAAAAATTGGGATAATACCAAAAGCTCATGAACATAAAAGAGAGATCACACAAAGACAATAGGTTGCTTTCTAAACTCTTGATTTGAGAACTATATGTTAACATGAGAACAATAAAATCCAAGATCAATAAGAATAATAATTTTATAATAATAAAATTAAAGATAGAAATTACATAATAGATTAAAAATTAATAGAAATGAGCTCACATTCCTCACAATAAGTAGACCATATAGGTGACTTTACATGTTAGGATACCTTACAAATTAATAGAAATGGGCTCACATTCCTCATAATAAGTAGACCATCTAGGTGACTTTTAGACCATCTAGGTGACTTTACATGTAAGATACTTTACAACCTACAGAGCATTTGTAGCCTCCGCTCTTATATAAGACACTTTGCGTGACTTTTTCTTTACCCGTCTTATTTCTGCTGTGTTTTATCACCGGACTATGGTCATTATTCAAGTATTCAACAGTTACTCAGCGGTATCTCTAGAAGTAACACAACCCAAAGTCTTAAGAAAAAATGCTTCATTGAAATGTCATTTAAGAGAAGGTGCTTGAAATTATCACTTTGCTTGGCTGTCTCGTAGCTTGTGAATTCAACAAGGAACAATGTTATTTGTGCAGTAGTTTTTGAGGTAAAACATGCTCGTGTGATATTTACAGGTGAGTTGCATTACAGGTGCGGTTAGAGTTTTGAATGTTGAGACTTTGGCTTAAGTAAAAATTGTTTTATTCACTCAAGCCAGAGCCAAAATATAATTGGAAGTCCAGTTCGGGCGCATGCTGAAGAGAATCTAAATCCTTATTATATTGTGTTTTAAAAGTGCGTTCAATTTTAATTTTTCTAACATTTGCTTCTTTTAGTTTCTCAAACGTTGAAACTAAGTTTTTCATCCCAAAATTTTATTTAATAGTTAATAAATTTTTTTTATTATCCTCAACTTTTAAGATTGAATTTGAACATCTACAAATAAAATTTTTTATTAAAAAATATATAATTATTATATTAAAATTATAAAAATACAATAAATACATCTTTATTAACTGCTTATCGTTAATAGCTAAAATTAACAAATTCTTAATAAAAAATGACATTTTATTAAATTATATAATAAAATAAAATAAAATATAACATATTTGAAATAAAAATATAAAATAAAATACATATGACAAAAGTAATTCTTAAGTTCGAAGTGAAAGATTTAATTTAAATATTTGAAAAATTAAAGCCACTAACAACAGCACCCATACATTAAAATATAGAAAGTGCATGTAAGCCAAAATTATATTTGAACACTTCTTAATCTCTAACTGGTGATTACGGTTGAGTTGGAGTTTACACCAATTGCAGTTCTAGAAACTATAACACAGCAGTCTAGGAACTAATAAACATAGCCAGGTGAAAATCTAGGCACAAGATGTCGTTCCCCAAATTTGTGAAAAGAACCGCTAGTCTGAGACGACCCAAAGGGGAAAAATAAACAAGTCAGAAAGTTCGATTTTGGCAAATTACGCCTGTTACACAGTAGGATCCTCCAACTCCTGGTTTTTCTTCCTGTACTGGCGGTTCAACCTCTGCGAGCTCCGTTTAGCATCCTCAATAACTTCTGGTTCATCCTCCTCCATTGCACAAACATCACTGTTTTCAGTGTCACCAGCAGCTATGCCAACAGGGAAAGCTCTTCTATTCATGGCCTCCTTGCCAGCATCAAGCTTTTGCTTCGACACCATTTCACTCTCTCCCATAGTGGCATCACCAGATTTCTTCTTTGAGATGAAGGTTACTGATGGAAGATCATCCAAGGCATCATCTGCTTCGGATCCAGTTCCCTTGGCAGCATTTGACCCCTTTAACTGTGCAAAGAAGCTCATATATGCTTCCTTATTAGATTTGTCATCCATGTCACTTGAAGAGTCAAAAGTATAACGCGTGTATCTTGATGGATTACGAACATAATCTGGAACTGCTGAATCAAATTCTTGTGACTTTGATGACTGATCCGAAGCTGCAACCTCTTCAATTGAAGAGGTCTTCATTCGAACATCCCTGGTTCTTTCATGCTCATCATCATCATCATCATTACCTCTATCATCACATTCAGAATCAAACCTAACACGTTTCTGTGGCCTGGGCTCCAAATGATTGTCTCTACTCTTCAAAATTGACTTGGGGTTAATAGCATCACCACCAGCACCAATGTCTGGTGCAGATTTCTCAGAGACATGCAAAGCATCAATTTTTTTAGCTGCTTCATCATCCTGCTTCAGCCTAATCCTAGCAGCCAAATGATTTGCACGCGGGTCTCTCACAAAATCTCTAAACGAAGTGGGAAGAACACTGGAAGAACTTATCTCAACACCATCGTCGTTTATATCCTTCATATACACGCGATCCCCTGAGTTCTCTTTGCCAATAGCCTGCTTGTCATACTGATCTTCCTCTGCCTGCATAAAGTGAAGATTAAGTCAATTTTTTTAATAATCCAAATTTTGAGGATGAAAAACTTACAACAAGCAGCAAAGACAACAAAAACAAGAAGCACAAAAAAGAAGAAGAAAAAAATCCAGTACCCATCAGTCAAATTGTTAATTGGAGCTCACTTTAATAAAGAGGGGGAAAAGGAATCAATTTTAGTATCTCTAATAAGTTGGGTGATGTTGGTTCAATTCAAATGGTAAATATTGTAACAAAAAGAAATGTTAGACATATAATCTTAGCTCATCGCCTTCTATTCAACACATATTGGTATCAACGCAAGTTTTCCCGAAATAAAAAAGAAAATTAACAAACGGCAAGAAGAAAAATCATAAATTCAAAGAAATATTAACAACTTCAAAGCCCTTAAAAATCAATTTCGGTCGTCTAACTGGTCGAGTAAAATGAAATAAATTAGAATTAGAATTATACAGTGTTAGTTCATGACAATAACAATAAGATATTGTTGGAAAAAAAAGGTAGAAAAAGGGATGAAGGTACCTCGTAATCGAGGGTGCAATCGAGGCCAATACCAGACCTAATCTGCCACTGTTCATCGTCGTAATCGGGTGGCTTAGAGGGGCCACGTGGCGCGTCAGCGTCAGCGTCAGCGTCAGCGTCGTCGTTGAGGTCTTGCAGGTCGTTCTGGAGCTGAACACGGAAAGTGGAAGAGGAATAGGGTTGGGGTTGGGATCGGTGGATGCGCGCTGACGGAGTGTTATTGATTTCTTCTTCGGTGAGAGACCAAAGAGAGTTAAGGGAAGGAGAAGAAGAAGCAGAGGAAGAAGAGGGTACTGGAAGAGAACCGAAGGCTCTCTCTACACGCACTCTGAAACTGTCTTCCATGTTAATTGTGTTGTTAGGTTACTCCACTGCTATGCTATGCTATGCTATGCTCCCAACCCAAATCCAAGTTTATTTGTTTTCAAAAGGAAAGCGAAAAGGGTATTATCGGTGTTACAAGCTCTTTGCCAATAAACTTCTTCCACATTGCAAGTGTCGTACACATTACAAAACCCAACGTTTAATTTGTTTACTCATTTTCGTGTTGTGCCCTACAAATTACCATTAATTCAACCTGAGTAGCACACAGCTTTCGAAAATAATAAATAATTCATTTTATTAAAAAGTATATTAAAATATATGAAGGTTAATAATTCATTTTTAAGCGGTATTGGTTAATATGAAAATTAAGTATTATTATTAAAGAATAATATAAGATTTTATTGAATAGTATCTCAATAAAAATAACGATGTTATTAATTAGTATATTAAGATTATTAAAAATTGTAAAAAAAAATAGCATTGCATTTTTAATTAAAAATCACCTTTAGTGTCTTCTAATATTTTTCATAATTATATTAGTAATAATTTTTATTTCATTTTAAAAATTATATTTTATTGTTATTTGAAATAAAGTATTTGTTAGTATGAAGGGTGAGATGACAGATCAGTGTGTTTTTTTTTAATTGAGTTTTGTTAATCTTTTAAGACTAAATTTAAAGATTCAAAATAGTAAGCTTTTATTTAAAAATATATTTATTTTATTAAAGATAAAAAATATTAAAATTATTTTTTCAAATAAAAAATTACTATCTTAGACGATTAAACTTAACAGAAAAAAGTTAATATTAATATATTTATTTAGTCATCTTGCAGGATTTTTGAAATTGACAACTTGTGTTTACTTTAATTAATTTTAACTCCTTATGTATGTCTTTTGTTTTTCTATTTTTTTATGTCCTAAAATACGTGAATTAAAATTGATGTTGTCACGAACCTTCATGCATGTCACCAAGACACCAACAATAAAGGGCTTATGCGGTGGGAAATTGAAGAGACATTTTTCTAGAGCTATCTCCAAAGACGAAAATGGTGATGTTGGGCAATATTAACATCTTAAGTGCATTATGTATATGCAGTATCTATGATTTTACGTTAATGCACTTGAATTTACGTTTATTTGAACACTATTTTTTTTTATATTGGATCAATATTTTAAAATATAAGAACATGACTTCAGAGAATAAGGACCTTGTTAATCACTTAAAATTTCCTGGAGTTTAGAGATACTTGAGAACACTGTTAGGTTCGATTTTGTAACTATTAGCTACTGAACTTTTAGCATATGCTCATGAGAGGATTTTTGGACGGAGCATCTATTTTTAAATTTTAAATTAAAAAATTATATATCATTTATAATAATATAAATTAAAATATAAATTTTATCCTCTTCTAAAATATTTTCTTTCCAAATAACCTTAGAGCCGAATTAATTGATGTTACGGTCTAAGAAAAATTATATATTTTTTTAGTTTTTTACTATACATTATTACTATTATTTTTAATTTTTTTTAAGATTTTGTTAACCTTTGACTTAGGGCTAAATTTAAACATTAATAAATAATTTTTTTTATAAAAAATATAAAATTATTATATTAAAGTTATAAAAATACAATAAATACTTCTTTTTCTAATAAAATTTTATTATTATTAACTGCTTATCCTCAACCCTAAAGGTTGAAATTAATAAAAAAAATTTATATATTCAATTACTTGATTCTTGCAATTATGTATTCGTCATTTATATTCTTTGTTATATTTATTATTAATGTACTTCTTAAGTTTTGTTTCAATATTAATTTTTAGGTTACTTAATTTTTTTTCAAACTAAATTTTTTATTTTATCAATTTTTATTTAAGATCTCAATAAATTTTAAATAAATTAAATTATTTTAAAATTATTTTCCTCACAACACATTAATTCAAATATTAAATTTCAACATAAATATAAAAAAAATTTAACATTTTTCTTCTTAAACAATAATTAAATATCTTAAAAATTATTTTCAAATGTTATCAAATTCTTATTATTAATAAGTTTTTTACTTTTAAATATTTAAAATTATTTTGTTTAACAAATTTATCATAAAACAAATTCCCTTCCTTTCCATTTTGTAGTCTCTTTCTTTACCCCTCTCTCCCATTGTGCTCTCTTCCTACTCATCCAAGGGTACCCATAACATAAAAAAAAATGATATTTTTAATTTATTTTAATAATTTTTTATATAATTAATCAAAATAAGTTATATTTTGTTTATCTTAATAAATTATATTGTTGAATTTATGACATAAATAATTATTTAAAAATAACTATTAAATAAAAATTGTAACGCCCCTAATTTTGTAATATTAATTATTGTTATTTATATAAATCTAAATGAATATTCATGTGTGTATTTTTGGATATATGTTGTGAATATGTATCTATATGGGTGTATGCATGACTGGTTGGACTGAAATAGGCTAAGTGTCTAAGTACAGGGTGAGATACTAGGTTGTTCTCGCTATAGCGAGAGAGCCCTGCGAGGAAGAACTGAAACTATTACTTTCTCGCTGTAACGAGAGACCGACAGTTTGAGGTGCATTTCTGGGTGCAGTCTCGCTGTAGCGAGATTCTGCAGAAACCATAATGCAGTTTTCTCTGATTTTTTTAGTGTAATGAGAGTGTCGCGACCAAAAAAGGATTTAAAGAGGGTTAGGGTTCGGGGAGAGTTATTTCTCCCTCTCCCTTCGATCCTTTTATGCCTAAAGCCCTATTCCATCAATTAATTGCCTCCAAAGCCGTTCGGGAGAGAGATTGGAGCTCAGATTTGTGTAGAGAATGCTTGAAGGTAAGTTTTAATGGTTAGGGTTTCAATTTTTTCATCCCCTTTCTCTGTTTTCGCAGTTTCCCTGGGTTCTCATGGAGTTTCTCCATGTGTTTAGGACGAAATCCGTGAGAGGGAGCACTTCTTGGTGAATTTAGCGTGTGAGACGTCAATCTGAGCTAAGGGGAAGACTCTACCCTATCTCAATGTATTGTACTTCTTGTGTATTTCAATGAATAATGCAATGTGGCTGAAATAGAGAGTAGGAATCGTGTGTTTGATGGAAATTGGTGTGCAATGTGATGTGTGCTAGAATAGTTAGGCCCCGTGTGGGTGATTGTGTGTGATGGAATGCTTTTGATTGGTGAATTAATGATATTGTGAATAAATAAAGGCTATGTGCCGTATATTGTGGATAAAATGTGGGTTATGTGTCGTGTAATGTGAATTGAATATGGGCTGTGTGCCGTGTGCAAACATGAAATTTGCGTGTGTAAATGAAATGTATGTGAATGAGGCGTGTAGCGCCGATGTAATGTCTTGTGAATGGTTCAGCGATACACTGGGAGTGTGGGAGATGAGGACGGTAGAAATACCTTGGGGAAGAAGGAGTGATGGTGACACCGACTGTGAAACGGGTGCACCACTGGCCACACACTCTCTTCCTGACTAGACTTATGACCATTACCTTTACTGAGCGACCCGTGACTACTCACGTGGCATCCGTGAGGCAGGAATAACCGACGACCATTCATGGTGTAAATCTGTGGTCACAGTGCTATAGTGAGTGTGGCTGTTGTGCGTACGCACGAGTTTGTGTGTTGTGCTTGTGAATGTGAAATATTGCCTGTGATTGTATTTGCTTAATGTATTGGTAATATGCTGGAGGTGAAACTCTATGCTGACTATGTGCTTTTGGAGTGTAAAGTACTCACCCTTACATTCATTTTTCAGGTAATCAAAACGATTAGCACCGGGCTCAGTGAAGGGACGGATAGACTGCTATAGGACATAGAATTTATTTTGAAAATGTTGTGATTGAACTAGTCCTGTAGTAGTCATTTGATATTAATTTGTAACCCTTCACTTATTTCGAAATCTTTTATGAAAAATTTGGTTATCCGATTTGCGAAATTATTATTTAATTGTAATTAAATTTAAGGTTACAAAAATTGTATGTACTAAATATTGACCATTCAATTTACATGTAACGGGCAATTGCCATTCAACTGCAATCCAAACAAGACATAAAATTGTTGTCAATCATTTAAATTGTGCTTATGCTTGGAGCACCACTCAACTTTAGTTTCTAAGTCAATTTCATATAACTTGTTGAGTTTTCAAAATTATATCATAAAATGAATATATATTAACATTATGGTATAGATGACTATAAGAAAGTTAGATATTTTCAAATGACTATAAATATTGTCCATGTAAATAATTACAATTGATCATGAAAGTAAGAGATAAATGTTACCACGTGTTTCTTAGATATATGACTCGTAATAACTTCATGTTTTGACGCATTATCACATTTTTATATGTATTTATAAAAGTTATTGTAATTTTTATGTCAATATACTTTATCTAGAAAAATTTAAAGGTTTTGTGAGTATACATTGGAGATTTATATTATAAAGTTTCACTACTATTTATAATGCAAGTAAGCTCACTTTGGCATTTTTAATTTCTTTTCAAATTTTAGTTGCTCCTATTTTTTTTACTACTTTCTCATATGCCAATAAGAATTATGTGGCATTAGTCGTTTTATTTATAATCTCATACAATTTATTATTTGTAATTTGCATTTTCACTCCTCTTAAGAGGACTTGCTATTAGCACTTGTAACAAGTTTCACATTGCCCAACTAATTATGATCATGGATCTTATGTACTCATTCATAATTTCCTTTTTAAGAATTTCCAAAATCTTCTTTTAAATAACATGTGTACATTTTTCAAATAAGTTTTGAAATTTTCATGATAACATTTATGTGACAATAAACACTTTTTTAGTTATATGCCATAGAAATCGATGACATGCATTTGACATTGAGTATTTAATTTCTTTTGCCATATTTGCATTTCACATGTAGAGTTTTTTTTTTTTTTGGTTACAGGTATTCTCTACAAATACTCTAAACAATCAATTAAGAAATATTAAAATTTCATTAAATAACAAAGATAAGCAAGCATGACATTTTCTTAACAATATTTAATATCTAATACTAACAA